TTATATCAACTTTTACAGCATCTTACTGTAAATACTGTAAAGCAGTAAAAATAGATCAATCGTATAAATAGATAATATCTTAAAATAAATAAAAAATGTTATTGCGTATAATAAAATTTATGATCATATTATTCTATCTAATAGTATATATTAATTCATTATTTGATAGATAAGTTTTAAGTTCCTGCGAATAATGTTTTTAAATTTTAACAAAATAATTAGCATATTATTGTTATTTATTGCTTAAATAAGTAATTTTATGCAAATTTTAACTTAAAAAGTTTATAAAAAACAATTGTTATTATTAAATATAATTATAAATTTTTTAGATTTTATGATTTTTGTATGAACTACTTATATTAAATTTACAAAACTAAGATATAAAAAGAAAAGTTTTTATAAATTTCTAACTATCACATTTTTTAGCGGTTTTAACTTCAAATGCATCAAAAAGAATATTGTGCTTATGATTTGTAATATTATTATACATAACATATCAATATAATATATAAGAATTATATAAGAAAAAAATTAATTATTTTAACGTTTGATAAATATATCAAGTATCTATGGTTAATGGCTATTCATTTTTGAGTTATACCAAATAACAAAACTTGATTTTTTCAAATAATGAATAGCGAATATACGTGAAAGTTCTTGGTTTTTCTAAATTTTAGATTCTGATCGGAGCAATGAATGAATATATTAATTTTACAAGGACGCGTGTGTATTTTTCAGTTCATCTAAATTTTTTTGGGCAATAAAATGCTTTGATTATAAAAATGAGGAAGATCCTGGTAGCAAAGTGGATTTAGTTGGTATTTAAGGAGTCAAAAGTAAAAAATAATACTTTTCTTGTAAACGAGAAAAAAATAGATCAGCAAGTAAGTACCGTTCTGTTGTACATTAGGTGTCCATTGGGTTACTATATTATATAGGTGTGTTAAATTTGAAAATTTAATTTCTACAATGTTTTTTATAGGTTGTCCCTTTTGAAACCATAAAATTTAAAAAAATGTGTTAAAACAATTATATTTTATAGACATTTTAAGTTTCAATTTGGACGAAATTACTTATTTAAACAACAAATCACAATATGCTAATTGTTTTGTTAAAATTTAAAAATATTATTCGCAGGAACTTAAATTTTATGTACTTTATATTATTATAAATTTAACTATATGCAATAAAACTTTTAATTTATTTCGAAATATTAACTATTTTTGTTACCATGAATCTACTTTTACTATTTTATGCTGTTTACTATTAACAGAAGAATATTATTAAATTTTGAATTATGTAAGTTGATATAACAAGGTATAAAATATATATATTGATTATAATAATACTAATAGTAAATAAATGCAAAATTTTACCTACCTATTTTATTATCTTAGTATTAAAAATATAGTATTTAGTAATTAAGTATTTAAAATAAATTATTTTAATAGCTATATATATATAAAAAAATAATAATATTAACATATTACTTGGTGATTTAGCGTGTAGACCAGCGGTTCTCAACCTAGGGTACACCCAGGGCTGGATCAAAGGGAGGAAGGCTAGGGGGGCTATAGCCCCGGGCCGCAAGTTGAAAGGGGCCACAGTGTGTCAACTCATTTTTTTTCAAAACATTATTATAACTTATACATTTTAAATTTATGTCATATGAAAATGGACTATGGACTTGAATACTTCATTACCGATACACAACACCCAATTATAGATATAGTGGTCGTCATTTCTTGCAACTCGTTATCGTCGTTATCGAACGGGTTTCCGGCCGATCCGTCAACGCGATAAATATAATTGGTTAAATTTATTTTTTAACCTAGTACATTACACGTTATATGAAAGACAAACACGTACTTTTGCAGCCCATAGGTGCAATACTGATTATGTTAGCTTGGACCGCAGACGCTAGCTTGAGATTTCCGATTGTTTATTACTTTATTATCATATAATATTTAAAGCTCCTTTTAAAACGTTATAAATTTATTGAATTTATCTATCAAGTGTGATTTAATAATCATGTCTTTCCGAAAACATGAATCTGGTGCTTCAAAACGAAGACATCTCTAGCTATTCTTTCAATAGAGTGTAAATGACTATGAATATTTCATTTGAAAATATTATGAGACGATTTGCCCAAGAAAAATCTAGGAAAAAGTTTTTCAAACATAATAATATATAGATGAAAAATATATGTGTATATTTTTTTTATTTCATATGTCGAGAAATGTATAATATGATATAAGAATAAAATGTTATTTAAAAATAATGCTTTACTTATTTTAATTTATATTTATTACAAAAATTAATAAATCAGAATAAAAAAAGAAAATTGTTTTAGATGAAAAGGCCTCAATAAAAGTAATAGCCCCCCTTAAATTATGACCATAATCCGGCCCTGGGTACGCGTACCCCAAGAGGTATGCGATATCCTCTCAAGGGGTACGTGAAAAAAAATTGGTTAATGATGGTAAATGTTGAATTTGTGCCATAAATTAAAACTTAACCGTCAACTTATTTAATAGATATGGAGTATAGAATGTAACATAGAATTTTTTGTTATTTTTTATTTAAATATTTTAAAAGTAATTATGTAAAAAAGTTTAAAAATTATAATGAGGTGTACAATCTAGCAAAATATTAAACTTAGGGGTACGGAACGAAACAAAGGTTGAGAACCGCTGGTGTAGACTAATAGAGCGTAAACTGATATCGTTAAATTATACAGGTTATGAAGAAAAGTAAAAATAATTAAAACTAAAATGATAGATACTATTAGTTACTTAAGTTCATATATTGTATGGGAGGATAATTTTAAATCAGAGTTGAGGAAGGAAAAGGAACAATAATTATTTCTATTACGAGTCTTAGTTGATTCCTACAAGGAGCTTATTCATGATATTATTGCTAGGAGTATTTTAGATTTCAATTTATTGCGAACTTTAATGCGTGGGCATAAGAAAGCTCCCGGGACTCCTATTGGAAATCCTAACGTGCTGTTTCTAAACTAAAAAAATAAATTAGTAGTAACACTATTTGTACTGCTACCGCCAGAGGTTTCCAACTAGTGGAGAGGGGGAATTCCCTCAGGGGAGATTTAGAGTTGGCACGGAGGGGGGGAGGTATAGCGATGATGAAATTACGAAACTAATTATGTCATTTTTCATTTACAATGTGTAAAATTGAAATCACTATTTACATTTCCGGATTATCGCGCATCGATAACAATTATATTTTATAACAAAAGTGGATAGACCTTTTCATATTTAATCTAATATTGATAGGTACAAAGTATACACAAGAAAAATTAAATTAAACAACTTTACAATGTTTGAAGAACTTTCTCATTAAATGTACTTATCTTATTTATATTTATATTAATATTTTTTTTTTTATATTTAATAGTTTTTTCTTATACTTAATATAATTACTTCGTAAGTTGATTTATAATATATTTTTTAAATGATGAAAAAATGTAAATAGTTGTAAAATATAAGTTATTTTGTATAATTTATTTGTATGGCTAATAAAAAAAAAAAAAAGTCGCCTAAACTCTAATTTAAGGGGAGGGGGATGAAATTTTTGAAAATTTACACAAGAGGCATTGGATGAAAAAGGTTGTTAACTACTGTTCTACGTAAAGGGTATCATATTTATTGTGAACACGGACATATTAAGAACAACTAGGGCACAGTGGCGTAGTTATGAATTTGATTTGTTCTGGGGGGGGGGGGATATATAATTCATTGGATAAACATAAAGTGAAGGAGATTATAACCATGCCTTTATAGCCCTATATTGCATATTATATCCTTGATCATAAGTTATTACATAATATGGGTAATTTTATATTATCGAATATAGGTCAATGTATTAAATATTAAAAAAAAAAGATTTTAAGGGGGATCTATCCCCATATTACCCTTCTCTATAAGAACACCACTGCTAAGGTGCATGTCTTGTACGTCCGAGTTATCACTTGTTGGGCATGCTTACTCATAAAAAATAGATTTATATTTTTTACGACACAATTAACGCTATCTATGTATAAATAATCACGGGAATTAAATGAATAACTAGACGGATTAATATTGCCACCTACTACCGTACTCAGTTGTGATAGAGTATAGATAGCGTTTAAATCTTTTTACTTATGGTTGGTTGTGCAGTGTAGAAGGGAAAGAAATATTTCGGTAATCTTACCACCACCCCGCCAAACAGCTCGTAACCTGTCCATCCTCCTCGTTTCAATGTATATATACATAGTAAAACTGTTTAGTTTAACTGGCTGCACTATAATGGCTGACTGATTCATGTAGGCGTCCCATGCCGCTACGTATTCGTTCCGCTTGTTTATTATACGTAGTCAGATATCGAACTCGAACGTCTCCGAACGTTTGCTTGTTGACATCTGTAGTCCTACGCGTTTTGGCGGAAAATCTAACTAATCGATTTACACTGTTGATTCGGCCGTGCACTACTCATGTGATACCTCGTTTATAAGTACCTGTATTCAGTATATTGTCGAGCGTTGAATTAATGTAATATTTTATATATTAAACAATATTTCATTTGTTTAAAATAGAGAATATTCTGGTATGTAGTAAATATTAAAAACAATATGACAAAAATATAGAATATTGCTTTTCATAATTAATTCAAATAAACATTTTATACTAATGCGAAATAAATTAATAATTATTACTTTTTGACGGATTTCCTGCTAATCAGATAGTTTAGGAAAAATAATATAATTTTTAAAGAGAAAATGGTTTAGATATTAGTAATATTAAAAATCAACATTTTAATCCACACTCATTTCTCGGAAACAAAAAAATATTTATCAAAAACAGCAGTTTTTAGTATTATTATATCCAGAGAGAAGATTGCGCATTGGTTTTTAATTTTTTAATTTTAATCAATTTTTATACAGTCTTGTTAATTTTAATACATTTCAACATTTGGTACTTATTTTTTTTTTTTTTTAGAATATGGATCCTCCATCGGTGGCTGCTCCTAACAACGCTGATAATACTTTAAATAAATCGTCTTTGATTGGGACAAACATCAAATTGATGGAAGAATTAAACAAAAGAAAAGTTAAAATAAGAAGATTGGAAAGATCAATAAAACATAAAGATCAACAAATTTTGTCTCTTAGAAAATATATTTTACAGATGAAAAAAGAACATTCCATGCCTGACGACGATATATTATTAGATACATTCGGTAAATATAAACATTTAATTACTAATTGGTCTAGAAAAAAGTATAAAAATATTTTATTTTAGAATTAATTATTATTATAATAAAATAAACATATTTCAAATTGTATAAAACTATTGATTACTTTGACGTACACGAATACAATAAAAAAACTCGCAATTAAAATATAAAGCACTTTATTAGTACCACAATATACAGTGAGAAAAACCTACTTTTGACTCTTTATATTCTTATAATATAGCTTAACATGATTTTCTTGATTTCTTTATACTTAATTGTTATTGGCATATCAATATTTATTGACCAAAGAATTAAATAATTTATTGTGTATAATATAAAAATATAAATTATATATATATATATATATATATATATATAATACGATAATATGTATAGTGTATACCTATATAAAAATTGGGAAAATTCAACCTCATCGAAATAAATCTATTTAAAGTCGTCGATCAAAAATGTTGTGAACCACTGCCGATATAATAGTCTCGAAGATTCGAACCGTATAATAATATCGTGTAAGAGGTGTACGCCCGACATTTCTTTTAGAAAAACTGCGCATTTAGAATTTGGTGGATACATATTTATCCAGGTAAAATCATTTTAATGGTAACCTTTTTGGGCGTAACAATATGTTATTCTGATGCGAAAAGCATTGATATAGTAACAATAGCATTCCGTTAAAACATAATATTTTTTTATAAAAACAACACGTATAGTTTTACGTTTCAAACAACATCAGGAAAGTCATTTTATTTTTTTTTTTTTTTAATTAAATTGTCTGATAAATTAATTACCTTTAAAAATTTTAATTGACTTGTTCTATTACTTTTTTTTTTATTAGGCGTTTTAATAACTTTGTTGTTAAAAATAAATTAACTTACTTTCAATTGAAATTTATTTAAAAATATATATTTTTGGGGCTTAATAATAATGTGTTCAATACATTTAATAAGTATAATAACGATTGATAATATAGAATTATGTAAAATGTTAATTATGATAAATTATTAAAACACATTATTTGATTAATTATTTTAGATAATTAAGTATTATCTAAATTACTATGACTCATAACAAAATGTATTCTTATTAAAAATAAAACTTTTTTGTTATAATACGATAAAGCTATTAAACATAAATGTTACACAACTAGGGCTATTAGCGTTAAATTTTTAGAAAATAAATTTAAAAAAGAATTATATAATTTTACAATATTGTTGGTTTTAACGTTTAGTAGATTTAGTAATTGCATTGCTTCAAAGAATTCTATTGTGTTGATTTTGTTTTTTGGATTTGGACATAAACTTGTTCCGATGTCATGGGTTATGTTTAGTTCTTCTCTTTGTATTGATATATTCTGCATTCTTTTCAAATGTGTTTGATTGTGAGCGTGGTGACACATGCTTGGCATATGGGTGGGTCATCTATATCAGTGTTTCTTAACCTAGGGGTTGCAACACTTTTAGAGGTCGCCAACTTATAATTTAAAATTTAAATTAGTACAAAAATTAAAAAGCTCAGATAATAAAATAAAGTAATAAAAAAATAAAATCAATAAATACAAAACACTGTATTGTGTACAGTACTTACAGTATTGATTATTAATAATAATTAATGCAAGCATCTACATTTAAAAAAACTTAAAAAATGGAAAATTTTAAATGTTTATAAATTTAAAAGGAGCCAAAATATCTTGAAAATTATATCATGCTTATAAAATCATATTATTAATTAAAATAATAATAAATAAATTATTAATTCAAGTATGTTTTAAATTGCACTCAAAATACAAAATCGATTTTTTCAAAAACTAGATTTGTGTAAAAATTCCCATTTTTTATAATTTATCTTATTGTTATTCCCGATTATTAAAAAAAAAAATATTATGAATATTTAATTTTGACCTCATTAAAGTACAAATAATATCTAATTTTCTACACAAAACCAACCCTCAAAATTGAAAATCGTAGCACTATTTTGATTATTTACCGTATATACATATTGTATAAAAAAACCTACATCATTGTAAAATCAATACATTTTATAATTCTACTCAAAACCTAAAATTATTTCTTAATCGGATATTTTTGCTTTCATTTAATTATTTTATCTGTATTTTATTAACTAACTCTCATTATCATCACCAAATCTTAATTTAATTACTATAGTAAAATGCACCAACGCATTATAAAATGTTTTCGTATATTATTAATATTTATAAAATATTTTTTAAATTTTGATTCTTAGTATTTAACAATAATCGGAGTGGTTTGCTATGAAAATAATAAAGTAGTTATAAATACTGAAATTCGTTTAATTTGTTATAAGATATTATGTTAATTTCAGGTTTTGAGTGGAGTAATGAATGTATAGATTTTAGTGATTTTACAACGACGTGTGTATTGTGTGCTATAGTTTAATTTCAATCTGCAATCACCTTTTAAGACAGTAAAAATGCTTATATTTTCAACTTAGGAGGTAGTTGCTAGTAGTAAATTGGATTTAGTTGATACTTTGTAAGTTAAATGTAAAATTTTCAGCATTTTTCTCGATAAAGAAAAAATTAAGGGAAAACAAGAATTTTTAGGCTAAAACAATTTTGGACAAAATTGATTTCTTTTTTGTTATAATTTGAAAATAACCATTGAATCATGATTTTTAATAATTATTTATGATATAATTTACTATACATGATACAATTTTCAAAATATTTAACTATTTTTAGGTTATACATAATTTATATGACATAAACAATTGAAATCTTCAATTTTTTTTATAAATATCGATAAAAAGTTATAAGCTTATTCGAAATTGTTGAAAATTTAATACGAGATGTATATGGTTCTTTATAAGTTGTTTTCATATCTCTTACAAATTATAAAATTACATAGATATTAGATACAAGCTTTTTTTATGTATATTATATATTTGAAGTTCGAAATGATACGTATTTTAATGATTTAAAACGATGTTAATTATTTGTTATAATTTAAAAACATTATTTGAAAGAACTGAAAACTTTTATGGATATTACAAATTTCATTACATACAATGACATTTTCAAAATATGTAAATTAATGTTGAACTATTATTTATTTAAACTATATGGACCTATTCACATTATCTTAGTCTTTATAAAAATGTATTATTAACTTTTGAGTTAATAATAAATTATTATTAATAATGTATTATAGTAAAAATATATATTGTTATAATAATTAACTACTTATAAATAATATGTTTTCGAAAAAAATGAAATCAACCTACTGTAATACTAAAAGTTAAATAAATCACTTTAATTGACATATCAAAACATATATTATCAAATATATTATGTACTTAATGATATAAGCTGATTGGATGTCTCCGCTCATAATCGTTGTTTGCTTACAATCATAAATCATTGAATTCAAAATTAGCATACTCATAATAGTGACATCTAATTTACAGCAAAGCGATTCCCACTTGTTTATCTTTTTTTAAATTAAATACTGGAACGGTATTAAATTTATTATACTTTTAAGTAATATTGTAATTTAAAATTGTGAACAATTTATTGCTTATTATTTACTAAGAAAAGGTGGGCTGAAAAGTTCAAAGCTCGCAATCTCCTATATATGATGCTCTATACGCATAATTTTAAAGATTTTCAAATTTAATATTATTATAGTTTTAGTATTGTGAATCATATTTTTAAGAAATATTAAAATAAAATATATGTTAATGTTTTTAGAAAATATGAATGTCGACGAAGAAATTATTGATCCTCATGGGATGATGTATAGTATTACACCAGAAGACTCGGGAATAAAAAAGTAAAGAAAAAAAAATGCTGCTGCATGGTGAATTTTGTATATTTTTATGGATTATAGTACGCTAAATAACAATCGATAATGAATAATTTATTGTTATTCTTCTATTATTATATTTATATTATTATACTTCTTAATTTTACTGTACACAATATTTTGGTTATAAAAATATAGTTTAGAAATAAGGTAATTTGTACAATACGTTTCTAACATACATACTTTTTATTTAATAAATACATTTTTTTTAAATTGTTTAATTCTATATACTATAATCTTGTGAGTTTGTAATTTATATATATATATATGTATATATAAAATATATATTTATACATACAGTGGAAGTTTAATAATAATACTTAATATTTTAATACTTAAGAGTCTTATCATATAGAAAAAATGACTTGCTAAGTATTAAAAAATAATTTTACCCATATTGACATTCAGATATTTCTATAGTAAACTATAAAAATATAATAACAAAACTGCTATTCCAAATCAAAACATCATATTTAAACGATATCAATATAAATATGTTTTTTTAAACTTTTTTTTTTTTTTTTTTATTTTTTATTAGAAAATATACAATCTATACCCAAAGGCATAATAAGAATATGTGCTACATTAAAAAAAAAAAAACATGAATAGGGTGAGGGAAGAAACCATCCAGTGACCGCACTTCCTTTTGCTTAAGTATATGTGAAACAATTTATATAATTTATATATTTTAAACTTAAAAACAAAAAAGCTGCATCAACTGTTTATAGGTACACTTGTAACACGTTCACATAATAACTAAGAAAATTATTTGTAAATTTAAAAAAAAAAAAGAAATTAATATCTAAATATCTAAGATAAAATAACTAAAAAATACAATATACATTTATATATATGAGTATAATCTTTGTTATAATTTTGAAATAGGTATTAAACAAATAACCATAAATACATTTTAGTATTTTACTTTAAAAAATAAATAAATATATTTATATAATCTACATATACCTTTAATTAAAGTTATGATGAATAAGATTTTTTTTTTCATTAATTTGTTATTCTTGGTAATGATTTTTTCTTAGTGTACATTTTTTTCAGTGAACGGTAATTTCCTACACTAGAGAAGCAAGTAAAAAATTACATATTTTAATTTCTACAAATGAAATATGTAAATCCCTTCACACTAAAAAAAGAAAAAAAAGGTACGTATGTAAGTTTCTTACGTCGGAAAAAGTGGTATGTGTAAGTTCCTACGTGACAAAAAAATGACTTAGTGTGTTAGTTTCTACACCGATCATACACTATAATTTTATACCGATAGTTTACTGTAAATATTGGAAAATAATTGTGCAGAATAAGTGCAATACTGTAATAGCACTCTTTTCAATCGTTATGTGTGGTGCTCATACTTAATGGTTCATAACGATAACTATTATCGATAAAGTTGACCTCTAAATTCGATTTTTGGACGAAAAAAATATTCATTACTTTTTATTACTGATAAAAATAATACAGAAAACCTAATTATGGTTTCATATTAATTATAACTGATAGTTATAATTATACACAAAATAATACACATAGCTATTATTGGACAATTTAACCTAACAATTTTTTTAGTATTGTTCTAAACATTCATGCGTCTGTATACCGCAGTATATCAGTGTATACTAATTAGCTGCACGGGGAACAATCCGGAGCACGTGCCCCGGGCAATAGTCATAAAGGGGTGCCAATTTCATATTTTGCCCCGGGTTAAAAAAAAATGTTCGATCTGGCACTGCTAATAAGTAATTATTTATTAATAATAATATTTTATTATTTTTTTTTTATTAACCTTTACACGAAATTACGATTATCAAAAATCACGCATCCTTTATACTTAGTAAAATTACAAAGACTTATTAGTTTTTTATTATTTTAAATTTTTTAAACATCATGTATCAAAAAAAAAATAAATATATTTAATTTATGGTGTGTTATAAATAATAGTAGTGCAAAAGTATATGTAGTATACACAGTATATTTTTACTAATACACAAAAAACACAAATAATTGTTAAAGCTCGAATTATATTTATCGTGTTATTACTTACTTCTTAAAATATGTAGAAAATAGTTAATAATATTTTATATTTTACTTACCATTGCATATGGCTAAAAAATAACAGAAAATACACTACGTAATACTTTATCAATTCTATCAAATATAAACAAGTAATATGTACATAATAGATAATTATAAAGTTTCGTGAAACTTGGCTGAGATTTAAACTTTTGCGGATAATTAAAGACGGGTAAACTTACAAATTTTCAATTTGTGCTGACATAAACTTACAAATGACTTGCAAAAAAATTGTTATCAACATTTTTCACTTTTAGCGGCCAACTTCATGGAGCTAGATGATTAAATACATTTTGAAGTAATTGAAATTATTTATCAATTTATTCTATTTTGATAAAAAGTAATACTTGTCTGTGTATGCAAGCAATCTATAGCCTGGTCTATTGCACTCGTGGTTCTGAAATTTGATACATAGTTAATCCTATTTTCAAGGATGAGTACCTACATCAAAGTCAATTTTTAAAATTTAACATCTTAAAGAGAATGTTCATACAAGGGATTTGTTAGCTTGCGAAAAACTAATATTTTTATTTGTTTGTATAGTGTTGCCATTGGTTAAATTTAATAAAATGATTATTAAAATTGAATATATTTTGGACCTGTATTTTATATTTAGTCGAAAACATCAAATTAATTTGTTAAAAATGTTTATAGCTAGCTTACATTCAATAGAGATTAAGACAGTGTAAATCCACTGGTACCTATTGTTTAATTTGTCAATGTAATCCCGTGCAGAATCAATCAATATAAATTACAAATATAGATATAAATAACACGATTATATGAAATATTAAATACCTGCAATATAATAATTTGTGTATTGTTATCGGTGTTGTTTCCCTTTAAATATTTGTTCTTTTTTATTATAATTATTATTATTTCATATTATTTCATATTATTTTATATAGATATTATAATGTTAATAGTTGCCTTTACGGCTGTCTACCATAATCCGCACAAATATTTTTTTTATTATAAGAATTTTATGGAAATATAACTATTTAGTAATATATTAATACATTATTCTGCAAATAAAACAGTAAGTGCTTAATAATTGTATTAATTTAGATCTATTAATATAAAATAAACAGTCGATTAATATTGCGGTTAATATTTTATGAAAAACACGAAAAAAAAAACCATGAAAATAAAATCTGAATTTTTATATTTTACTATTATGTCATATTTTATTATGCATTAGTTTTAGTTTTCTAATTAGAAACATTGATCAATAAATCAACCAACCAAATATCCTAAATTAGGTAGATACTTAATCTCGTACTTATATCATACGATCATTAAATAATAGGTAAATAACTTAAATACAAACTTTTTAATATATACAAAATCATGACATCAGTACGTACTATTTAACGACAGTGACAGTTTTATACTTTTATAGTGTATATGTCGTGTGTAAATATACTAATGGAAGTTTGTTTCGTTTATTTTCTTATTCCATTTAAACATTTTAAACACAACACAAGTAATATAACTAAATAACAATTTAATTGTTAAATATTATAATAATAGATATACATTCAACATTCCATATAGTAGGTCATTAGTAAGTCATTAAGTTTAATAACTTGGAAACTATTCGAAAGAATTTCAATTTTAATTTATCAACATTTTCAAAAAATATCATCTGCTTAAAAAATATTTACTGTTCATAATTGGGTTTTCATTTAAAAAATTAAGTTTTTATTATATTACCACCACAGGACACTCATTACCTAACTAAAAAATTTACTTATACTAGACCTTAAAATCCTTAGATCTTATAATAACCTATTGCATATAATTTATTACCTATTAAGTATACGAATTATTAGTGTAAGTATAATTAGATGATCTTATACTGTTTTACTATTGACTATAATTACATGTCCGTGGATTTACCATCTTCAGTATTTTAGCGCGGTTTTATGGGTTGTTTAACAAAATATAAAATTATACAGATCTAAAATTACATCCAAATATAATCACTATTTTATCTTTTGTATGGTAAAAATAAATAAATAAATTTAAAAAATTACAAATTTTCACGAGTCAATTATATTTATTATTTATTGGCTGGAGGGTGAAAAATAAATTACAAAAGTAGCGTTGATACTATGGATCTTACAACATTTTTTTACGAACATTTTATAAAAATCGATCGAAAACTGTAAATTTACATTTGTCATTCATTTTAAATCTTTGATTCTATAATATAGTAGACATATTATTAATTATATACCTGATCCCGTCGATAATACCCGATTGCAATAGATAACCTTACTATGTCTTAAATAAAGTGTTATATTGCGTCCGATAAATACCTTAAGTGTAACGTGTATGTTATAATATTTTTATTATTATTCATAGTGTGTAACTAAATTATTCTTGTATTAATTATATTAATCCATTATCTAAATTCCATTTAGTTCAGCTTCGACGTGGATACGTAAAGGTGATTACTGTATAAACTTTGAGTAACATTATTCTTATAAAAGCATGGTTATCAATTAACTTGACACACGATAAACAGAAATCGATAGATACATATTTTACAAAACATAAAAAATAATTTTTTTCACAAAAATATTTTTATTTTTTTTTTTAATTACAGTAGAGTCCCGTTAATCCGGACTAGATGGGACCGGACTCTCTCCGGATTATCGAAAATCCGGATTAAACGAAATGACGTTTTTTTTTAACTTACTCATTAATAAACACTATAAATAATAACACAATAAATATGCTGTCAAAAAACACTTCATGTTTATACGAATTCAAAATTTATTAATTTACAATTTTACATTAGATAACATTATTATTTTTATTTGTATTAAGACTTGAAAAACTCCGTGATATTTTTTTGTTTTAAAAATATCACAAATCACAATATATAATCGAAACGATAATAT